GGTAACCATAAGATTGTTTACTATGTCTGTGAGTCTGTTTCTCTTTTGTAGATGAGTTCATAGTGTCCTTTTACCCCTAAAATGTTATTTTCTATTCTGCAACTTTTTATCTTTATATGAATGGAAAAGTGTTAATACCCTTAAAGGTCAGAGTCTTGAGAATAGGCTATTCTGTGTATTTCAGGCTCTAGGCAACATTCTTTTACAAAAGGTTGCAGAACCAGCATGACTCAGCACAGGACACAGCACAGGGTTAGAGCCAAAGGAACAGATCTCACATGGAGTCAGATTCGTTCTTTTCTATTACAGTGGTAGCCACTTCAGTCTGGCTCCATGTCCTTTTAACATGTTCTTGTCCTTCTTTGAGCATGTCCTTACTTTTTGGAATAAGATGTTCCAGACTTGTCCTGTTCCTTCCCTCCCCCAGGCCTGGCATCAGCCATTTCTCTGAGGTGCTCTGATTCAATTACTGGAGCATGTGATTGGGAAACCAAGATTTTTGGTTTATGTGTTAGCAACGTAAGTGTGTATAGCCAACTTTTAAAAATGTAGTGAATTCTTTACATTTTATTTCCTGATTGACTTTGTAAATTTTCTAAACTCTTTTCCCTTCCTTATTTATTTATTTTTGTCTAATTTTGGGTGGTTTTACTGCTCAGTATTACCTGCCTAAGAGGTAGCTGAGGTGTATAAACCCATCGTGAAGACAGACTGGTCCGTCTACTTGTTAGGGGGAGGTTGAGAGTTGGTACTAAGATACTGCCACTTACAGAGTGTCCTGCTTTTGAAAGGATATCACCAAAAGCGTATTCAGGTTCTGAAATGAAAACAAATCCCTACATTTTTTACTTTAAAATCTTTGTGTGTCTTACGGGTTGCAGTGTTAATATAGTGAGTGCTACGGTGTTCTGGGCACAGGGCAGAACAGGCTCTCCTTGAAATCCTTGAGAATAAGATGTAACCATCAAGCTGCTGCAGTCCCAGGGAGGATGTGTTCTCCCCGGGGTCACTGTGTTCTTTCCTTCCCAAGTTCCATGGAGTGCTGCCCATTAGAGCAGTGGTGTGGATCTTAGCTAGATGCTTAGCTTAGCCTAGCCTACTTGAATCTTTCACCTGTTAGTAACAATATGACCACTACTTGTTTCTGTTGTCATATGGGAAGTCGTTCCCCTGATTAAAAGGTGACCTTTTTGGGTACAGACTTTTTTGAGTTGTGTGTTCTGTGTCTATCTTTGTCATCTGATTTGAAGTCCTGTGGAACTCTGCATGGTTGGTGAATGAAGGAAAATTCCAATTTACTTTTTATGAATTGTGCACATAGCAGAGACCCAGTAGCTTATTACTGAGGAATTTTTGAACTAATAATAATAATAGCAAACATTACTGTGTATCAGATACTGTGCTAAGAACTTTAGATGATCTCTTTTCATCCTCACAGCATCCTTTTAAATGAGGAGCTGTCATCCCCTCTCTACAGGTGAAAAAACTAAGGAACAGAATCTTAAGAAACTTGGCTGGTACAAGGCAAAGGTGCAGTTCAACCCAAGCAGTTTAACTGCAGCAGGTACTCTTAAAACTGCATTAAGTTGGCTCTTTATTCTTCTCTACTGC